AACTACGGATGCACATCAAAAATCCATTGGAAAAGGTAGTTTTAATGTTGAAAAATCCCTTGATTGATCATCTCGACATCGAGATGTATGAGCATGAAAAATAAAAAGATTTTAAGTTTCAGAAATAGTGCATTTTACAACATATTATCTACACCGTCCATTTTCAAGATTTTCATATGTTTATAGATCTACTTGATTTTAACCATTTTTTGAAATTTAAAATTTTATAATTAGATGTAAAAATAGATTTTGAGATAATCCTAAGAACATTTTACATCAAAATTAAGGTGCACCTTACCTTTACAGACCCTATATATATATATATATATGAAAAAAGCTGGGATTAGCCCACTAGCTCATATGAACATATGAACCCAACGGCCCAGATTGAATCTGGACCGATCTAACGGTCACGACCTCATTTCGTGTTTGAATTTTAATTTTTTTTTCTACGAATCTAAATCACTTGAAATTTTAGACGTGTGTTCTTCTCATCAAGACGCATCTAATAAAAATATAAAAAAAAGTATTCGTGACAAAAAAAACCAAAGTACCCCCGAAACTTTTCAAGGGTATTTTGATCAATTCATTTCATGTAAAATATTTTTTTGATATTTTTCGAAGATTCAATTATTTTTGATGAACACATGCATAAAATTTCAAGTGATTTGGATTTGTAGAAAAAAAATTAAATTAAAAAACTACCGGACATTTGTGATTGTCAGATCGGCCCAGATTGAATCTGGGACGTTGGGCTCATATGTTCATATGAGCTAGTGGGCTAATCTTAGCTTTTTTCTATATATATATATATGGAAGCATCTACAAAACGCTTATAGGTGAAGTTCTAACGTACTTCACCTACACCTCATCACCGTCCAAAGTTCATCACACGGTCCCAGTTGTCCAGATCGAATTTTTATAATTATTGTACTGATCAAATTTATCTAAAATTTAGGGCGTATGTACATATGACCGAGTCGCACCAAAATAAAATATTAAAAAAAATAATAGATATAAAATAAAATGACGAAATTACCTTTGAAACTTTATAATCGTATTTTGCATAATTTTTATCATTCAAATTATTTCTTTTATAATTTAATTATGTGCATCTCACTAAGGTGCACACACCTACAAAATTTCAGATCATTATGATTTTTAAAAAAAATGTTAAAATTAAAACACTATCAAACATCTGTGACCTTGTGACAAACTTTGAACGGTGATAAAGCCATAGGTGAAGTACTGTAGAACTTCACCTATAAGCATTTTCTAGTGTTTTCCATATATATAAGGTGATAAAGCGATAGGTGAAGTATTGTAGAACTTCATCTATAGGCATTTTGTAGTGTGTGTTTCATATATATGCGGTGATAAAGCCATAGGTGAAGTACTGTAGAACTTCACCTAAAGGCATTTTGTAGTGTTCTCTCTCTCTTTCTCTCTCTCTCTCTCTCTATATATATATATATATAGAGAGAGAGAGAGAGAGAGGGAGAGAGAGAGAGAGACCACAATCACCATTAGCTGGGCAGTTGGAGGTATACCATTGACCAAGCTCAAATTCCTAGAGAAGTTCTCTAATTGTGCGAAAAAATGATACACACCTAGACGCCCAATTTCACATATAACACCTAGCATTGGTCGTAACCGTGTGCCACAGGTAAACAACCTTGTAGCATACAATCCCTATCAAACACGTGAATAACCTTGTAACATACAATCCCTATCAAAACCATGAGTTAATCATATATTGGGTGCAGTTCAGCATCTTGGTCCCTCTCTCCCCTCCCCCCTCCTCCCCCTCTCCCCCTCCCCAAAAAAAAAGGAAAAATTCTCTCCCCTCCCAAAAAAAAAAAGGAAAAACAAGAATTTGTATTCATGGACACCTGATTTTAGGTTACCTTGGCTTCAGTTCAGCATCTGAAGTTGCTTCTCTTACAAGAGGCCGGATATCTCTAATACGGGTCAGCAATGCTTTACGAAGGGGATCATGTTTCTTGGATTGAGCAATGCTTAAATAGACTTTGGCCATTATGAGCTGATCCCGCAAAAGCTTCAGAGTCGTCGTGCTTGAGTTCGAGTAGTCTGGCCTCCATATGCCATATCTTGGCTGGGATGTCACATTGAATTTCTTCGCAAGCTCTATTGCTGAAATCTGCATCTTATGCACTGTATAATCATCCAATGACGTGAGAAACGCAGTCCGTTTTTCCTTCCTTAAAGTTCGGTTGTACTGCACAAATTTGGTTTTCAAGAATAAGAACAAAATATTTTATTTCAAGCATATTGGCATTAGGATGAGACGGTTCACTCCCTCACCCGACGTTCCAGTTTAACCGGATTAGTTTGGTTTGTCAGTGAGATATTGCCATATCCTTCTACAAAGATGGTATTCTGATCACTGCCATCTAGTTTACTTTCAGCATTCTCAAGTGACACCTCTTCTCCGCTCTGCACACCACAGGCACAGGGACCCCATAAAAGAGTCAGACGCAGGCATTGGCATCGCAAAATTTACATCATTTCTTTTATTTGTTCCTTTTGTTCTTTTTGGATAAATGACCTAGGGTCATAATAAATATTCCAAAAATAGTACACTCTCATTATGCTGTTTGCAAGCTTATAATAATTGACCTCAACCGACTCATTATTTAGTTGCAATAATTAAACAATATATAGAACAGCATTTAAAAAAAAAAAAATTGAAGTTCCATCCAGGTGCATGATGATGGAACAATTTCCTCAGTTTCATCTTGCAGGAATTTTATCTCACATACATTTTAGAAAACATAATCTCTTGTCAATAGTTCTCTAGAAACTCCCAAAACCCTAATCTGACATGCATGCAATAAATTTAAGCTCAGGTCAAGCAACTTAATGTACCAACATAAACATGCTTAGTCTATACATTTCAGTTATTGCAGCAGCGAAGTTGTCAATCTTGCCTTTTGCCACTGTTAGGAGCACTACAGAAGCAGAAAAGCAAAAAAAAAAAAAACTAATATATGAAATTGCTGGTAATAAAAATAATGAGCACCTTATGATATGCTGAAGGCTTATTCTGTACATCAGAGCGATCCCGCGGAATCCAAGATGGAGACAGATCCTTTACTTTCGTTTTGTAAACACGAAGATTACCAGATGCATCTACATATATCATACGTAACTCAGCATTCTGCATGTCAAATACATACAAGTAAATGCGATGTGTCATACCATTGAAAAAATGATAAAATGTATAACACAATATGCAAAACAATTGGGGATGGATTTCTTCCATTCACCTCATTTGATTTAAGTAGACCAACTTGCTCCTTAAAATTGCGTGTAAAACTCCAGTCCTGTGGTCACATGAGGAGACGGTCAAATCAAGTCCATCATGTCATGAACCATACCTCCAAATAAATGAAGTAGAAGAACTATTGGGATATCAGAAACAAGATAGGGTGTCATTCATCATCTTGTACAAATAACGGCAAACAAAAGCATCTCTAGATAATCTTAACTAGGATAGCCTAAGACGATTGCCACTATATTCTGGACTTTCCAAGAGTTTCAAAATCAACTTCAATTAGTCAGGTTAACTCATAGTCACTCCTCCAGCTTTGAGGGGAGGAATCACGTGCACCCTAGTGGCCCAACCACCCCTTCTTCACATCTGGTGGTTGGGGAGGTCATAGCAAATTGTTTGAAACCCAAATGCTAGCATAAAATGCTTTCATCATATGAATAAATGCATACAGACATATCTATATGACTCTTTCTCTCAACCCCATGTACGAGTTGGAGTCCCCTGTGCATGTTTATATAATAGGGTTACAATTGTCTATTGCAGTGTAAGAGTAAATTCCAAAATTATGTATAAGTACATATTCTTACAGTCTCTCAATTGTCCCTTTCTTAGTGGCAACTTTTCATCCTTCCATTCTTTTAGGCGATTTATGTAATTTTCCCATAGTCCAGTTCTATATAATCCTAAAACTTCAGGTTTTCAGCCTCTGCTCTTCCAAATCTCTCAAAAGGTCCCCCCTTCCACTTTATACCAGATTAGTTATTATTCTGCTTCGTTCAATAGCCTCCTTACAAAGAATAGCATTATGATACCCTCCTCTAAACTATAAAATCTAGGATTTCTGCTTCCACCTTATCTCCTATAGCCTAACCAACCCTTGATAGCTTCCTTTGTTTTCTTTGGATCATTACTACTGAACAAAAACCTAACAGCAAAATTTCACTTTGTCCACACATATACCTCATTCCACTAAGCTCCATTGTTTTCTTCTGATCATTACTATTGAACAAAAACCTAACAGCAGATTTTCACTTTGTCCAACATCAATTCGCTACTAGAGACACATATACCTCATTCCACTAAGCTTTAATTATCTGAGCTTTTCACCAATGCAGTGACCCCAGGATAAATGAATCTTTAGTTAACAACTAATGTCAATATATCAGGGAGTATTGACATGTTACATGTGTATGGTATGGTATATTCCACAAGGGCAAATAAAGTTTTATTAGAATGTAGTTCTGGCTGTATGTTTTTCTTTTCAGTAAAATTTTTTTTGCCATTAGCCCTATTTGTGTGTACAATCCCTTTTTCCAAAGAGAAGGGAAAAAGCGAAGCATAATTATCAGATCTAAACCCAATATAGCATCTCAACACTCCTAAATCATTTTTGAAGGTGATGCTTTTGCAACAGGAATCCCGGAGGTGGTCTTCATACATTCCACCAAGACTGCAAAGGATGCTTCTGAACATCTTGGAGTAGTGCTACTCCTTCAAAGCCTGAAGGTCCCTTGTTTGTATTATAGGAGCAAGGTGAAAGGTTAGGTTTCTACAGAAGCAAATACAGGATCCAATAAATCATCACGGCAATACCAGTTAGCAACTACCCTCCCTTTGAGATAAAAAAGTGAAGCATTGAAGGGTCTGATTCATTCTCCTACATCAACTGACTCCCGTGGGCCTATCATCATTGACACTAACGTAGAGGTTTTGGGCACTTAGTTCTAGATTCCAATTATGGTTGAGATACCTCAGTCTAAGAAATTTGATGAGAACTTGGTCTAAGGTTGAGGGTTGAGATATTTGGATTTCAGGAGAAGATGAAACTATGGAAAGCTGGAAAGGTTAAAATCTTGGAAAACAGAGGCCCTAGGTTGATTTAGGAAGGTTAAAATTATTGAGGAAAATGGAAAAGACGCTCAATTAGGGGCAAATGCTATCATTTGGAATGAATATAAATACTGTAAGCTTCATATGTCGGTGAGCTATCAAGACTCTGTTCTATTTTCTCACAAAACATGGTTCAGAAGCAACAAGAATGGACCAATAGAACTGATATGGGACATGATATGAGTCCAACCATCCAATTTCTTGAAACATGGACTAATAGTCAAAGACCTACATAATGTATGTTTGAAAACTTAAATAGAAACCTTGACAAACATATCTTGAACTTGTAAGTCCTTTAGGAATGTCATGTGCAATTTACACCACTGGTAGTAATGCAAATGCTCAGGAACTAAGTTAGCATTAATTTGGCGATGATTAGATATCCGGCTTTAGTACTTGGGTCTATTTATCTTGCATATGGACAATCAGAAATGCATGTTCTAAGACGTCAAATTTGTTATATTTTTTATATCATACTGTACGATAATTAGATAAATGGTGAAGGAAAGGATTTCAAAAGAGGGTTTAAGATAGGCAGATATGCCTGGGAAGGTGGGATTGAAGGGTTTCCGAATTTAGTATCCTTTGATTAAGTCTCCAGATCAGTTCCTTGCATGGTCCAGCTCCAGTTGTGATGGGATTCTGCTTCATTCTAGGAGAGACAAGAAATAGTGAATTTCCACTTTTGATAAACATTTTTGAAGGCTACACTAGTCACTGAAAAATAACAGCTATGAGTGGCCACTACAATTGATTGTCTCCAAAATACTTGAGGCAAGTTGTCTAGAGCCCTAAATGAAGGCAGTAAGAGATGGAGGAGTTGATAGGGATGCCCATCAGTTTAACAAAATAAGGGGAATGGGGATGATGATCAAATGGTGCGGAAGAGGAATCTGGAATGTATCCACCTGATACCTTATTTGTATCTGGCAACATTAAAGGAAATATTTTCATGGTATATGTTGAAGGGTTTAGTGCCTCAAGACCTTCTACCTTCAAGTGATTATCCATGTGGGATCAGACATAGGAAATTGTATTGATTAAAGATGATTCCAATTACACAAAATTGTAAGCTATGCATGAGGGCTAGATTAATTGTGGCCTAGAACCTGATTGATTATGACTTTGTGACCCTACATATGGGCATGGATCACCTACTGCCCTAGTCATTAAGGAAAGGAATCCACTGGTTTATGTTGAGGGGCATTTCTGTAGAGCTCTGACACCACTTATTGTGCTCTGAGAAATAAAGCATGAAACACATACAACAAGAACACAGAGATTTACGTGGTTCACCCTAGAAGGGCTACATCTACAAGCACGGCAAACTAAAATCCACTATACCAATGAAACTTACATCAAAGATTTTGGAACAAACCTTGACAAAAAACCCAAGTTGAGCAAACCCTTTTCAACCGCTGTCCCTTCCTTCTCTTTACTTCTGGCAATATCGACAACACCAGATAAGAGACGCGAGAGCAACGAGAAACTGACTTTCTCTCTAACTAAAAGGGGAACAACCCAAAATCTCTATGGGAACTGCTACTCTACAAGAAACAAACAAGTCTCTCAATCTTCGTGAGTCCAAAAGAAGCACCATCACAGTATTTCTGTCCAAAAGAAGCTCTTTTCTCTAAGAGAAAATCACATCTTATGCACAAGAGGCTCTACCTCCCTCTCTCTCTAGAGGAACCACCATTCCCATATGGTGACCCAAATTGAGCACACCAATTCTCTGCACTTTCATCCCATATATATAATTAGGAATCCACCGAAAATAGGAAACTTCCTATTGATATAACATATATTTCAAAAGTCCAAGAGATATATCCATCCAAGAGTCCTAATCTTTTGGATTTCGATTCCCCTTTAGGAAACTTATCAATATCAATCCCACAAAATATGAGAAAATCTCAATCAATCCCATAAAATAGGAGAATATCTCAATCCCACAAAATATGGGAAAATCTCAATGAATCCCACAAAATATGAGATATCCTTATGTGGGTGATTTTGAATAGCACTAAATCTAACAATCTCCACCTTGATATCAAAATCACCTGCTAACCATACCAACATCCATCGGATAGCTTTATGGATTCTTCATCTTTTGCCAAATAAAATTCCTTCATTATTCTTGCTGAAAAATAGTGCTTTCCATCAAATTACTCTACCTCGAATTTTGCATTCAAAACCTTTATTGCCTTACCAAAAACCCCAAACCAGGCTCTAATACCACTTATTGCAAAAGATGAAGAATCCATGAAGCTATCTAATAGATGTTGGCATGGTGAACAAGTGATTTTGATATCAAGGTGGAGATTGTTGGATTTTGTGCTATCCAAAATCACCAACATAAGGAAATCCCATATTTTGTGGGATTGAGTGAGATATTCCCATATTATGTGGGATTGAGATATTCCCATATGGGATTGAGATTGATATTTGATAAGTTTCCTAAAAGAAATAGAAATCCAAAAAGATTAAGACTCTTGGATTTATCTCTTAGTCTTTTGAGATATATGTTATATCAATAGAAAGTTTCCTATTTTGTGTGGATTCCTAATTATATATATGGGATGAAAGTGCAGAGAATTTTAGTGTGCCCTGGGTCACCATATGGGAATAGTGGTTCTTCTAAAGAGAAGGGGAGGTAGAGCCTCATGTGCATAAGATGCGATTTCCTCCTAGAGAAAAGAGCTTCCTTTGGACAGAAACATTGTGATGGTGCCTCGTTTGGACTTCTGAAGATTGAGAGGCTTGTTTCTTGTAGAGAAGCGGTTCCCGTTCGGGTGGTTCTCCTTTTAGTTAGAGAAAAAGACAGTTTTCGTTGCTCTCACATCTCTATCTCCTTTTAGTTAGAGAAAAAGACAGTTTTCGTTGCTCTCACGTCTCTATCTGGTGTTGTCGATATTGCCAAAAGTAAGGAGAAGGAATAGAGAGTTGTTTAAAGGGGTTTGCTGGACTTGGGGTTTTTTGCTGAGGTTTGTTCCAAAATCATTGATGTAACTTTCATTGGAATAGTGGATTTATGTTTGCCAAGCCCGTGGATGTAGCCCTTCTTAGGTGAACCACATAAATCTTTGTGTTCTTGTTGTATGTGTTTCATACTTTATTTGTCAAAAATCAACCAATTGGGTTTATAGCTTCCGCACGCACAACAATTTCTTCAGTGGGTCTCTAGGGTATGCATTGTGAAAGGATAGCTGTAGTGGTCTTTGGGCCTCTTGCCACATTTTATTATGCCTAGAAAGAGGACACATGGTTCCATAAAGGTTGCCTAATTTTGATGGCTGCAATTTGTTCTTTACATTTAGATATCCTGATTTGAGCCAGCGTCTGATGCTAAGATGGCACAAACAACTTGGAGAACGACTGGTTGAGCTCAGTGCCCTTTCTCTTTAACATGAAAATCTGAAAATTTGCAGCCTCCCTCGATTCAAGGTTCTTAAGCTGAATTTCCTCCCCCCCCCCTTCCATGGGAGCTTGAGAAGTAACCCAAAGGGATGGTAACCATGGGGATTAGGCATCATATTGGCATATGGTAACTTGGGAGATATTACAGGGGTCCTCGAACAAATAAGAACTTTGTGGGTTTCACTTTTTGAACCAATGGTCACAGAGGACAACACAGTCAATGGTGTTTGCCTGTTTGATTAGGACGTTTGGAGCATACTGATTACACCTACTCATGTTTTTGGGATCTCATGGCCTTATTGGTCATCGGCATGGATCCTGTCAACAAGGAATAGGGAAGAAGCCCGACAAATTGAAATGGATATGGTGAACAGTATGATTATCCCTACATAGGGAAGAAGCCAGACATATTTGTTTCTATTCTCCAAAGGACGGTCTTTGGTTGATGTTAGATCCCACGTAGTACTTCTGAAGTTCTGACCATATTATATACCATCAAAAGTTTATGCTTGCATATGTTTTACGTCGTACATGATGTAACTATGAACAAACAAATTCTCTGCCATATACTACCACAAAATATCAAAAATCTCAACAGTATCAAAATATAATTTATCAAACTGTCGAGATCCGCATTATAGTTGCACATAAACATAAGGCAATTGACATACAATCTTGTCCATTGAAATTTCTCATGAACTGTTATACTTTAACCCATCATGATTCTCAATATAGGAAATTGGAGTATGAAGCACTTTTTTGACAAAGTATGGACTACTAAATATAACTATGAAGTGTAATATTATGAAATAAATGATGTAGAGATGACCACAGTTTGTAAAATTACAAAGATTGAATAAATACTTCCAAAAATTAACCTGCCTTCTTCATTTTATGATTACTATGAGCAATCACAATAATTTACAATAACTTACAATCTGTGACATAAACAAAGCAAAATGAGATCATGGAAGATGGGAAAGAAGGAACTTGACCTTTTTTCTTTTCAAAACGATGGAATAAGTGTTCAATGGTCATCAAACTGACATTGTACACACAGGAGAAGGGAGATGAAGAAAGTGCCTCTTTGCCAGTGAGGAAAAGGGAGTGGAAGGTAGAGGATCATCAGTAGCAATTTTTTCCCCTTAATGATTGGGGTACATTGCTCGAAAGAAAGAGGTTTATCACCACTCCTAGATAAGCTTTCCAGTGATTTTTCTTTTCCTGAGCAAGGTGAATTTACAAAACCAACATTGCACAACAGGATAAGACATATGGAGAAAGTGCCTCTTTGCAATTGAGGGAAAGGGAGAGGAAGTTGTGGATTGTCAGTAGCAATTTATTTCCCACAATGATTGGGGATTCATAGCTCAATAAAGACGTTTATCACTACTCTTCCATATGCTTTCCAGTGATTTTCACTTCTTGAACAAGGGGGGTTATAAAACCTAGCACCAGTTTCTATAAGTTTGCAATAAGTGTATTTCAACATCTGGGCATCCTTTACTCACTCCTCGTGAGTTTTTGTAATTATTATAAGCATATTAATTTACTGTTATCTCCATCAGAAATAAAAATGGTATGTTTTAATGTGTTGAAGAGGTTCACTATATCCAACAAATTTTCTCTTGCGTAACATATCACAACATTTTTACTTTATGATTCCTGAGATTAATCAAACAAAGCTCATTTGCCAGGAATATGATAGGAGGAACCAAGTTCTAAACATGACTGAGAGCTACCCTTATGAGCCTTAGTTTGGGATTCTTCTTTTCATATTCGAACCCAGGGAAAAGCCATTTGGTCAGAGCATACCACCTCCCCAAACATCCCCAAACAGAACATAATCGAGCAATCGATTTCACTGAAATTTCAGTCCAAGAAGTTGTCACAAGCAGTTAAAAAACAATTCTTCAGCTTATGTGAAGATCTTTATAACAAGAGTAATTAGCTTGCAAACCCAAATAAAAGAAATCTTTGTATCCCATCAGATTACCTCAAGATTCTTGAGAGGCTATACTAGAGATACCATTCTCAACACCATTGAACAGCTAAAGAATTGCCATATGCCTTAATGTCACAGAAACAAGTCAATTGCCGACTCCCCTCTTAATGAGTTTGAAGTCTTACATATTCCCAAGGGGAAAATGAATGACCGACTTCTACAAAACATCCAACGAAACTCAATTTTTACAAACAGATGGACATTCAAAAGATCCCTTGATTTGTCCGCATATGATCCACATAAAGCAGATATTCAAGTGTTATCCAAGGCACACCACAAAGGAACCATAACCTTGATCTTTAGCTGTTAGAAAAATCCGAATGCTTTCGCATCTGGTCAACATACAAATGGCTCTAAATTCTAGAAGAGATACAAAAAATGCTAGCACAAGACCAAGTTACTATTGTCCAAACATGATATTCAATGAGAAAAATAAATAAAAATTGAGTAGAACAATAACATTTCTAGATAATTAATCCATCATTTGACAAGTGGAAATCAGTATGAAGTCAATGGAGAAATCACACATCTGGTAAGCACCAAATTCAGCTAATGGTCATCCAAATGAACCTGTTGCTTCCGCTATCAACACAGAATGATATTTCCTTGTAATAGAAATAAATCTTCAACGCAAGAGGCAATCATTTCCTTGTAATAGAAACAAATCTTCAACAAAAGAGGCAATCAAGAAATTCAAGACATAGAGATAGTTGCCAAAAAAAACACATAAATTAGAACAGATTGCAAAAACATCAGGCAGGTAACATGATTGAGCCTAAGGTTCACATTTGACTGCCAGGATTAACCTAGCGAGAGAATCAGAAGACAAAAAGAGCTCAAGGCACCTTAAGATTGATAGCTAATTTATCCAACCTAATTCACAATAGTAATTGTCAAAAAGCGTTGTAAGGAAACCACTAACACAAATAAAAAGACTCAGCAGTACTGGAATGAGAAAAAATTTCTATTCTGAAAAATGACCAGAATTTTTTTAAAAAAATCTAGAACTGATTAGAAAGAGGAACATTCCAAAGAAATTTGATATATATTTCAAATATATCCACAAAACACTCTCCAGAGTTTCTCAAGAATGGCACAAGATGTAGAGTCTCAAAAAAAAGAATGGCTCTATTCTGAAAAATGATCAAAGTTTTTTAAAAAAATCTAGAGCTGATTGGAAAGAGGAACATTGCAAAGAAATTTGATATATACTTCAAATATATCCACAAAACTCTCTACAGAGTTTCTTAAGAATGGCACAAGATGCACATGCTCAAAAAAAGAATGGCACAAGATGCTTGCAAGTAATCCCTATTGATCTTTCTGTGGAGCAAGATTTTAGAACATCTCGATAATGAAAGATAGCCAAGAAGTTTTTCCCAATTGTTAATCAAGAAATCACCTGGTGTTTTTGGATTAAAACGAAATAAAAATGAAGCAGGCATCATATCATCCACTGGAGATTTAAACATCAAATTCAACCTCTAATCTAGAGTAGCGGAACATCACAGACACACTGAAAGATTTGAATTCGTAGCGATTTAATCTTCTTTCGAAAACAACTCTCAGTAAGCTAGTCCTCATTCAATTTGTAATAATTCACACTATTATATTCCAGAAATTAATCAAAGACAAAGAATATAGGCCATCAAGAACAGACTCCATAATCAGCACAAGAATGAGTAATTCATCGAAAATCAAGATAAAAGAAGCAGAAAATCCACATGAAAAGAAAAAAAAAAAGTCGGAAACGTACCGGTTTTCCAGTATCTGGACCTGTTCACAAAGGTTACAGAGAAAAGTTTCAGAGAAAACAGAAATGAAGTGAGAGAAAGAGGAGCTCGATCCAAATCGAGCAGAAAAAGAGCGAGAAAGACGAGAGAGAGAGAGAGAGAGAGAGAGTATACCTTTGTGGAAGTTGGAGACGACAAAAACGGCTAGACCGAAAAGGCAAAGGGTGATGATGCAGGGCCAGTAAGAACTGAGCACTCCTCTGAAGCAAGAGGTAGAGGGCCGCCTGTTAGAGCGGTCCATTGCTCCCTGTGTTTCTCTTTCTTTATGGAATCAAATCACAGGAGGTTGTCTTTTGCTTGAGAAAGGGAAGCCTTTATAGAGTCGGGACATGTGCAATGGAGGAGAGAGTAAGCGCGCGGGTATTATTGGTTTTGTGAAATCTAGAGAGAGAGAGGAGTTAGAGAGAGAGAAGGGTGAGCGCCTGAGAAATGAGAGACGGAAAACGGAGGCGTGGTGGTGTGTTTTTGAAATGCGCGTGTTGAGATTTACTTATACAAGATGCACTATTTTGTGCGCGCACTCTGCCTTTGTTATTAAGACGTGGAAAGAATCTCTCCCTCGTGCCTAGTCCCACTTTTAAATTACTAACGATTGTTTCATGCTTGCTGGACCGTGGTCGGTTCACAGGTATAAAGCATTCATCTGGTCTAAATATTTTTTTAATATAATTATTATTTTTAATTTTTAATTTTTAATTTTATTTATATTCATGACATCTATGTTAAATACTATATATTTTTTAAAAATTAGGATTAAATTATATTTAAAAATATATTTATTGGTAAACCCACATTTCCACATTATGCGGCTCACCCTCATACTAACCGTATGCTTTAAATTAAGATATGAAAACAATCTCTCTTTTTCAAACATAGATATGGAAATAGTTATTCTTTCTCTCAAACTGAGATAGGAAGCAATGTCAAGATAAGCATAGATATGGAAATCTTTCTCTCTCTTTGATTTAGACTTAGAACCAGTGTTGATAATGATTATATGGAAATATTTCTTTCTCATTTAGTTGTATTCTATCTCTTTCTTCCTCTAAAGTTAGGAATGGGTCTTACAATCTCTATAGAATTAGGGGCTCTTTTAATTTTTGGGACATGAGTCCACCCTTAACACTAGCTTAATAATGTAGTCTAATATA